TTAAATAATAATTTTTAAAATATTAAATTTATTTTGTTTTTAATAATTATAATGTATATAATAACATATTAACATAATAATTCTGTACGTTTATAAAATAAATTCTAATTTTCTTGGCTGTTTAGCCAACTCGTCAATTACATCATCAGGATTAATTGCAATTGATTTATGTACAGCCATCATTGTTAAACCATTTAATCGATCCTAAAATTAATAATTTTTAAATAAAATAAAACTAGATACTTCAATAATAATTAATCATAATGATGAACATGAACTTACTTCAGACATTGTGTTACGGAGATATGTTTTAACTCGTTTGAGAGCTGAAAACATACGTTCGGGAGTTGTAGTAGAAACTGGTAATGTGCATAATATTTTTAATAATAGATTAATATTTGGATATATTTCTGAATTGCATTCACTAAGAGCATCAATTCCTGTTTTAGGAATAATCCCACTTCTTTGGAGCTTAGCCCGCCAAAGCCTCAATTCAGCTATTGCATTATTTTTATCGATTTGTGGTGAATAGAATTCCACTAACTCTTTAAAATATGCTTTGTCATTTTCGGTTAGATCAACACTATTTGAAAACAAACATTCAAAACCTATCAGAACAAAATTAAACAAAAAAAAAGTGTAAATATATCCAAATGTACTTATTAGATAATATGTTATTATAAATTATAATACCGTACCATTGAACACTTTAGAATGTGACAAAAACCTTTCTGTCAATTGACTTGTGAAATAATCAATATATGGGATAAAGACAGTTATTCTATAGTAATCTTGAACATTTGAAATTGGATTGGAAGTATTATCATTTGGATTAGCTCGGTTAGTTTGTGTTTTTGATATTCTTTTAATTTTTAATACAATATCTACTTCATCAGCCATTTCCTGTAAATAATAAATATTATTAGTTAGACATTATAAACAACAAACTTTCTATGTTTTACCTTTGCTTTTGAAAATATATTTTCAAATTCATATTCACAATTGTCTCTAATTTTTTTAAGCTCATTGATAGTATCTTGCGCCAGATCAATGGCTTCTTTTAGGTCAATTTTGGTTTTTTGTAATTGTTTACATAACGGTAGACCAAATGAAAACATTAGCTGAAAAATACATAGGGTATTTTCAATAGACTTAAGATACTTGCTTTAAATTAAAAATATTGTTTTTACCTGAACAATATTAATTGAAATTAGGAATTCAGAGTCCATTGATTTTAGAAGTAATGATGCATCTATAGCAGACGAATCCTTCCAATCTGATATACATTCTAAAGCATCTACTACAAACTTAAAAAGTTCAATAAAATCATGAACAGCATCGTATCTTTGCACCCATCGAGTTGCGCATAGCCTTTTTAATGTTTTTATTTTTTGATCAACGTCACTATTTTCGATAGTAGATAATAACACATGATTTCGTTTAGGAGTATTGAAAAAGTTGTATAATTTTTCAATAATACCTAAACAATTTCTTATTGGTTTTATATTGCTTGCAGTAGATACGGCTAAATTTAGCGAATGAGCTGCGCAATGCACGTAAATAGCTTTAGGGTATTTGACTCTAATATGAGCTTGCACACCTTGAAATTGGCCCGACATATTACTTGCCCCATCATATCCCTGCCCATATAAAAATTCACAATCAATTCCACAACTCATTAGACCTATAAAAACATAAACAAATAATAAACTCAATATTAATCAACAAACATAAATAGATTTAATCTTAAGTAAAATTTACCATTTAAAATCGAATCAGCCAAGTTTTTTCCTGTCAAACTATGTATTTCCATAAATTTAAGAAAGCACTCATTTACATTGTTTTGTTCATCAACAAATCTTACACAAAGAGCAAGTTGTTCAGTAACAGATATGTCAGTAGTTTCATCTGCTAAGACAGTGAAACACTGAGAATTGTTAACTTTTTTTACAATTGTTTGTAAGATTAAATTGCCACATGCTGAAATTATCTCATTTTGAATTTGTGGAGTTATATATTTATTACGACCCTCTGATTTTAATAGATTTGTTAAATATTCGTCGCCTTTACATCGATATAATAAAATTGACCTGAAATTGCCTTGGTTCGATATTTCTGGAGCTGTAATATAATATTAATTTCCTATAAAATTTATATACATTAGGTACCTATAGTCTATACTCTATACCTATTAAGACATTTAAATAGTTAGGTAATTCATTACATATTTACATAATATACCTAAGTATTTATGTCCTAAGTATTTAATATATCGAATTGTATCATTCTTACCTCAGTATTATCTGTATTTTTTTCTTC